ACTGGTGTATTTAAACCTTTGATCTGGTCATATTTTTGTATTTCATTTCTTTGTTTTTGCATAACCTCCATGATAAACTGACATCATACAAAATCTCTATTTCAGGAGTGAATAACATTTATCCGAGTGACTTGGTTCCATTTACAAGAAGACCGCTTGTTTTAGTTATTGACTGTGACAGCAGTGAAGCTTTTGAGGCAAGTATATTAACTCTATTTTGTTGTGGGATATCTTTCCTAAATTTTTAGATGTGTTTATGAGAATTGGAATGCATTGCCAATAACGTTTTTGCCTGTAAAGAAGTTTAGGGATTTGAAAAAGTATATATTTAATCTGTACTATCAAATATATAAATATTTCTAGCTCTTCATAATTCGTATCACACTGCATTGATGCAAGTTCCTAGTTATCCGCTTATTTACTTCTTGAATATTCCATATGGATTCATTGAATGTACTGATAATCCCTGGAGGCTAGAAGTGGCCAGTTCTTGTAGTTCACGAAATGATTGAAGTTTGAGTACTCTGTCTTTGGTAGCTACTTCATAATCAGATTTCCAACCTGAAGCAAAATGGAGGATATAGTTGTCACTATCAAAACTTAATAACCTCAACCCCCTCCCAATCTGTCTCCCCACTGTGCAGTATTATTTATATGGTAGCTTAATGAGCGGGCCCTATGTTCATCTCTTTCTCTTTTCCCTTAAATTTCATCAATACAGATCTCATTAATGATTAAATGTACTCAGGCTATAAACGGAGTACAAAAAGGAGAGACAGTTGCAATGCTCCTATCTTCTAGCTCCTCATATCACACTACTCTTGGTTCCTCTCGTCAGTCAAGCGGAAGCCTATTCACTATTTTCCTCACAGCTCCAGTGCAGGCTTTCTGTTTACTGCTTGGTATTTCAGGTTCTGACATTGACATGGTGCGTATAATGTTGACACTTGGTCTCTTCTTAATAAGCATTGGTTATTTAGTTTTCTCCTAACTTTTGTGGAACTAATTCAGGAAACATTTGACAAGGCCGAGAAGCTTCTTTCCAGTTCGTTAAGTGACTGGGGGTCTACTTTGGTGACATTGGACACTATTGATCCTGTTTGGGCGCAGATTTTGAGTGACCCCTTCCTAAGGCGACTCCTTTTGAGGTACTCCTCTTTTTAACCTTTGTTCTTATGGAGTAGTTTACAATGTGTAGGCCTACAGTCTCTAGTGTTCTCTTTTATTTCAGTATTATTTTTATCAATAGTCAGCTTCGACTGCTCTTACAAGAAATATTTTAGTGTGAATAAATGCATCATGATTTCTGCACGAGGATGCACTTTTGATTAAACTTGAAACTGGCACGAATTTTGACAGAAATGTTTTGTGGTACAAGTTCTTTCTTGCTATGTGCACAATGCTAGAGGATTTAATGTTCAAAATCTCTCACAAGTTTTGTTGGTCAAGGCACCCATAAAGAGGCGTATTTGAGCCATAAATGCTTAAGCTGTTTACATGGAAGGTTTAAATTTGTTACTTCATTATCCTTGGGCGTTCGGATAATTGCTGTGAAGTGTCAAATAGGTTCGACTGGGCTGGGTAGACTTATTCGAGCTCAGGCAGGACTGAAAGGTCTTTTCTAAGCTCACCGCAACATGTTTGTCTTGCAAAAAATTTCAATTTCAACTTCAGCATAAGCATATCTTTAAATGTATTTGAGTATAAGATTTGAAAAGTTGAGGGTACATAAGTTCCAATCTGACTCCATCTTGAATGTTAGTGTTTAGGGTTTCGGTTAATATAGCTCATAGAGCTAGTTTTAGTTAACATATGTGGGACGCCTAAAACTCATTGGTCTAATGGACTTTTTATTTGAAGGACTTTCCACTGAGTGGATACTAAACTACAAGTCTGCAAGTATCTCTCTGGCAAGGTGTCCTGGTGGGCAGTTGCCATTTTGCAACTGGACATTCTTGATTCTTTTGTTTTTGGTTTTTATCATCAATGGTCCCTAAAGCATGCAAAACTCATCAATTTAGCTCCTTTACCTTAAATATCAATCAATCATCCCTATACTTCGTTACCACACATCAATGTGATCCTTTCCATTAGATTTTCAGTTAAATACTAGTCATTTGCAGCACACATGACCTCTGTTTGAGGAGAGCAACTTACATTGAATAGGTTCACTTCCACGTGGCATCCTGATCCAGTAATACATTGCCATGTGGAGGAAAAATTGCACATGGCAATACATTATTGGACAAGGGACACCCGTGGCAGTGAACGTGTTCCATGTAAGTCATTCTCCTGTTTGAGGGGCATTTTGGTGAAACTAATACTCTACAGTTATTCTTATCACCAGTCAGAACACCATCGAATTCCTTTGCTAGTTAATTTAATGTAATATATAGTATTTGTATGTGAAAATAGAACTCTCCTACAGTTAATTCTAATGCAAAGGACAGTCCTGAATTTTCTATGGCTGCAATTATTTGAGAAAATAAAGAAATACTTAGGTTTTCATGAACAGAGATAGGGTGGAAGGGAAACACAGTGATAAGGTGGTGGCAGTCAGTGGTAGGAGAGAATTGATTATACCAAATATACCCCTTAAACAGAGGTCATGTGCGCTGCACGTGATAAATTTAAAAGAACATTTCATGGAAGTACCACACTGATGTGTACCAAAGTGTAGGGATGATATTTATTGATTTTGTAAGTTCAGGTACCAATTTGATGTGTTTCACATAGCTCAGGGACCATTGGTGATAAACCCTTAGTTTTATTTCTTCAACCCATACACAGACGTTTGCGCGTTCATGTCTTTGAAAGTTTGCTGAAATTAACAATTGTCAGCACTTTATATTATTGGATGCTCTCAAATGGGTTGACCTTTAATTTGCCGATAATTTTCTAGAATTGTTATGTTCTAGGTAGCGGTTCCTTGTTTATATATGTTCCCTGTGTGTGAAACATGTTTCTGTGTATATTTTTTGTTTCTTCCTTCAGGTTCATATTTTGTCAGGCTGTGCTATCACTCTTTGCTCCAACCTTCAATAAGAAGGAATTTATTCCAAAGTGTACGCCATGTCTTCCAGTTTCTGTCTCGCCAATGTCAACAGCTTGTCAAACTGTAATTTTACAGACAGCGAACATCTTTGGAGCCACCAGCAAGTTCATCTTCTCAGAAGGACTTGAACTCCCCGAAAATAGACAGGGCGATACAGAATCAATGTCATGTTCATGAATCATACGGGGGTAAAACGCATTATAGCTAGACAAGTTATTGGTGGGTGAATTTCTATTCGTGATTTGGACTCGTGGTGCCAAGACTTTCCCGATACTTTGTGTGGGTTTTGTATAAGAATTGTTTTTGGCATCCTGAATTTGTAATATTTGTGAGATAAGTTGGACTTTAAATTTGATGTCTGCTTAAATGAGAAGCTCTTCCTTGTATGTAGGGTGGCAACCCGAGCAACCCGTCCTAATTGATTCCGGTTGACCCGGTTTTTCAGTTTTAATTAGTAAAATTGAGTCGCAGTTTTTGCAAACCAACTTTGGAATTTTGGATGTAGGATTTGTATCCCCGAACTTGCATGCTACAAAATGTCATGTCATTTATCCTTCTGCATAGAACATGTGGTTGAAAGATTGGAGTTTCTTATTCTTTTATATAAAAATACTAATTATATGGTTTGTATATTGACTCCCATTGCATAAAATCCTCATTCTGCCATTTGCATAATCACAAAAACTAGAAAATAAAGAGGGATGTTTTGAATGTTGTATGAACTTATGCATTATTTTCAATTTGTTATATGAACTAAAATTTCAAGTAATTTATCTTATCATTTTTTCGAAAACATTAATTCGCCACATTACTCTAATTCTGTTAAGTTTTCTATCTAAAAGTTTTGTGACTTGCACATGACTTGTTTTTAAGGTTAATTTGGACATTTCAATTCCCCGCTCGCCGTCAAGATTTTTCTGAAAATTTCAAAGTTATTTCGAACATTTCAACTCCTTTTTTAATAGATACGAATGACTACGTTGAATTGTCAAAGCTTACAATTAGTTAAAATTCATGTTAGTGAGCCGTTGTCTTTTATAGTTGTTGACAATAAGTTTTTGAAATGAACCTCGCATGTTTTTTTTACCAGCCAAAAGTTTTAGGTCCGTACTAAGGAAAAGTAAAGAACTTGTAAAAAAAAGAGGTTAAAAGTCATGAACCTATGTATTCCCCCACATAATATATCTATGTATAAGAATAAAAAAAAGAACTTGCGAAAATGTTTCAAAAGTTCGCAATAAACCTTGAACATAAGTCATGTGCATTGCCCATTATTTATTTTGAATGTAAAACTTATCAGAGTTAGTGAAATGACAGATTAATAATTTCATAAAATTGATATGACAAAACGCTTAAATTTTTAGTTTATATGACAAATTAAAAAAAAAATGTATAAGTTCATATGACATTTCAAATACTTTTCCCAAAATAAAAATTGTGAATGAGAGTATAGTTATCATCAGGCTCTTTATCTAAAAGGAAAAAAATGGGAATTAGTTGTGTGACCCACCCCACATCAAACTTCAACGATCTGTACAATCTATTTTTACAAATTACTTGGAGTTTATCTCAAGGGTACTTTTGGTATTGACAAAATTACTTGTCTCTCTGTAAAATGTTGCACGGAAAGTGGAGTTCCGATAGATTTTTAGAAAACTAATGAAAAAGGGAAATAAGCAAACAGGAATTTGATCTAAAACAACAGGAAACCAGGATTAATGGCACCCTTTGACTGTAGAATATCTTTTTGAAGGGCTAATCTGATGATTTTGCTTAGATGCATAAAGGAGCTGAAAACGCTCACAAGTCCCACCTCTCTACATAACATTCCCTTATTGCCTTATAATTCTCCAGTAGTCTAGATATATATATATATATATATATATATATATATAGAGAGAGAGAGAGAGAGAGAGAGAGAGAGAGGAGGAGCGACTAGCGAGAGACGAAAGAAATCGGAGATGGTAGTAGATATTATCAAGGTGCTTGTTCATAACTTTGACGTTCTTGCAATGCCTGTGGTTTCTATTGTTTATCCACTATATGCGTCAATTAGGGCACTGGAGACCATGTCTAATATTGCCGACGATCGACAGTGGCTTACTTACTGGATTCTGTATTCTATGATCACAACGTTTGAGCTCACCTTTTCCAAAGTCATTGAGTTCATCCCAATCTGGTCATACGCTAAGCTGATTACGTATTTTTGGTTGGTCTGCCCACGCTTCAGCGGGTCGACATATATTTACCAGAATTACGTTAGACCTTTCTATCTCAACCACGTCACAGAGATTCCTGTGTTGGAAGGAAGAAGCAACGTCACATGCAAAACGCCGGAGACAGGTAGTGCATCGGAAAAAGCTGCAGGAACACATTTGAAACCCCGGAGAGAAGAACATCGGGAAGAAGCAAGAAAAACACATTCGAAACGCCGGTGAGAAGTTGTACATTGAAGAAAAACATGGCAATATTAACAATCCATTAGATGGAATTAGGCATATGCTTGTTTTTTCAGAGTTATCTATTTCATTCTCTTTTATAGTGTGGAGTAAGTTTGTAAAAAAACCGTAGTTCATGCACCGATATTATTGAGACATACGTATAATCAATGTATTTTTATTTTTGGTTCAAATTAATCAGAACGTTTTACTTAGTCACTTTCATCAAGTACCTGTAGATGTTGACCAGCCAGAGAGAGGGGAAGTTTCAAACCTAAGACGCATGGAGGGAAACTCAACACCCTTTCTATTAGGATATTGGACCGCATATGCATGAGACTTCATTGCTGATATACTTTTAAGTTTTTTATACGTGTCTTTGTTGTTGTTTGGACCCAAAATGACGTTTTTTGGGGCGAGCCCATGTTTGGCCTCAGTCCAATAAGAGATATCATGAATATTCCCACCAAGGGCCTGGCCCAGAGGAATTTGGCCGAGTCCTATCAAAAAATGGTTTTCATCTGGATGAGGTGAGTGGCCGAATCCTAGTACAATAAGGAATCCTCAGAGGCTGGTTATGCTTCGAATCAGAAAAGATGCCAAGAATCAAGGGTTGAATTTAGGTGATAGAAGAGCTTGATTCAGAGTCCTACAAGAGTTAGGATTGGCCAAGATCCATTTGGATTGAGTTAAATAGCTCTAGTCCGAGTGAAACTCTACTTCAGCCATAAGGAAATTACTACTATAAATAGAGATGGGTGTGCATCATTCAAGCCTCTCCAAATCAACACACAAAACTGTCATGCACAAACTCTCACTTTATGCAAAACCTCTCAAATATCTTGAGATTTTTGTTTTCCTTTTTCCCTATCTTCAGTTTGGATAAACAGTACTGTGGTGGTAACTGGCAACATCTTCAGTTTAGATAAACAGCACCGGAGCCGTAGAATCAACCAACCGAGAAGCAACTTCAATTTGAATAAACAACACTACTTCGAGACCATTTGGTTATCTATCCAAGTCTCGGTTAGCAATGATTTATGAGTCCTTATTGGAAGAGGTCATCTCATCAGCCTTCTCGGTGAAGTGAGGTGTTGCCAGGTTACTATGTTCGACACACTGAAAGCCGAATTTGATATTGACCTTCGCAAAACTAGCAGCCTTGTCTTCAGGCTATAGAACCAAAGGTCGAGACGTGTTCCTTTCTCGGCCGCAGTCGCAAGATACATAAGTCATCAGCATGCCTAGCTCCACATCAATATTCATTCACTCCCTGGCCGAGCTCACCCAACGAGTTGGCACACCCCACATTCAACCAAAAGATGCAGTTAGCTTATTAGCTATTCCGCTTGCGATCCACGTAGGCTAAGTAGTTTTTAGGGTCAATAGTTGTGTTTGTGGATTAATGAACATTATTGTATATTGGCCACTACCCTCTTATAGAGAGAGAATCAGGGATTAAGTTATGGGTAATTGAAAATTGTAGCAAAATATGATTAGATGAACACATTGATTTGGTTTTACTGATCCTCATTCAATTTTGGGAGTGAGGTATTGTTTTCGTTGCTTCATCAGAGTTTTTTTTTTTTTTTTTTTTTTTTTTTTCAGCTTTGGGAGAGTACGATGGAGCAGATGATAGGGTGGGGAGGGCTAGGGTAAAAACTTTAAAATTTGAATTGTCGAATTTGAGTGGTCGCTAGAATGGGGTGGTCGGAACTCAGGTGGTCGCGGGAGTTGGTGGTCGAAGTTCAGCCCATGCTATTAGCTATTCTTAGCTCCACTACTGAAGTCGCAAAGATTTGGGTCATCGGTTTAGCGCAAACAATAACAATGTACAAAAGTGGGATTAAAATCAATTTTGCATCACCACTTAGTACTACAGTTTAATGGTATTCCTCTTTACTTGTAAGTGAGAGGTCTTAGATTCGATTTTCGTCAAAGACAAATTTGAATCACATTATTGCTAACTCATTATAAGGCTAAGATATTTAACATTTCCTTTGGAAATGCTCTAAAATGTCTAATCTATTAGTGATGACCTACTAACTTGCCACGTTTGTCGTTTAGGAAAAGAGGTTATTAAGTTTTAATATGTGTTTATTGAATAACATAATTTATTAGAATAAGTAAGATGGTCACTAAGAGCCTGTTTGGTACTCTACTTGAATCAAACTTTTTAAACTCAAAAATAATTTTTAAGTTTTAAACCTTAAAAACTTGTTTGGTATGATTATTTTCAAAAACTGAACTCAAGACTAACTCAAAATTATAGTCTATTATCTAAAAACACAAAAAGTGAGTTTTTAAAGTTTTTAAACTTAAACACATTTATTTATTTTCCCTCCCTCCTCCCCTCACTACAAATCTATATCTATTTTCTTCTTTCTCTCTCCCGCTTCTCTCTCTCTTTTTTTTTTTCTTTGACCTTTTTTGCATCTCCTCCAATCCATTCTCTTCATTCTCTCGATTCCTTCTCTCACTCATCTTCCTCTTCATCTCCTCCGATCCTCTCATTTATTTCTCTTTTCTCCAATCATTTCTTACTTTCTTTCCTCCTCTTTCTCTCTTGACCTCCTCATTTTGGATCTCTTTGTCCAATATAAGTTGTAAGATTCAAAACTTTTAAATCGCATACCAAACAATTTTTTGAGACTTAAAGAAAATTATTTTCAAAAAAAAATTTTAAGAAATGTTTTGAAAAATTATAAAAATTTTCAAATACGATACCAAGCAAGCTCTGACATTCCTGGATATGCCTGTCAGTCTGTGTGTCGCTTTCCCCCTTTACTTTTCAGTTAGACACAAGAGTTTTACACTGACAGCCTCTCAGATGATATCTCACTTGGATAACTCCACAGCAATTACTGGATCCTTTACGGTTTTACTGCTCTCGTTTTTGCTCCCACTACCACTACCATCTGTGAATCCGTGACACACACAGACAGACGGCATCAGTCTGAATTCCTCCAAATATCCACCCGCCCGTGACTTTCCCCTTTCCCCCGTGACTCCTAATTTCCTAAATTCGAACCAATTAGAATCCACAAAAATCAAATCGCGACATCGGATTACTTTCCGAATTCCAAATATGACCGATTAATTCCGCACCCCAATCATTCAATGACCTTCAATTTCCACAGAAAACCCACCAAATTTATAAAGCCACCACCATGCTGCTCCTCCATACCCAAATCCCTAATCCTCATTCTCCTCATGGCCTCCCTCCTCTTCCTTTCTCTCCTCTCCCTCACTCTCTTCCTCTCTCTATCCTCCGCTTCCCGCCACCGTCCTCCCGGTCACTCCATCTCCCCTCAACCCCAGATCCAGCTAGCCTGCAAGGCCACGCGCTTCCCAGAAGCGTGCCAAGCTTCCCTGGGCAAGGTCGTCACTGACCCAAATGCCACCCCTCTCGAGACCATCCATTTCGCCGTCCAGGTCGCTGACGACGGCCTCAAAACGGCGCAGGGCATGGTCCACACCATCCTGGACTCGTCCGCAGGGAACATAAACCGATCCACCGCCGCGAAAAACTGCCTCGACGTCCTTGGCAACTCCCACTACCGAATTTCGCTCGCCACCGATGGATTGTCACGTGGTCGCGTTAAAAACGCACGTGCCTCCATGAGCGCCGCGTTGCTCTACCAGTACGACTGCTGGTCGGCTCTCAAGTACGCAAACGACACCCACATGGTAAACGAGACGATGTCGTTTCTCGACTCGCTGATCCGCAAATCCAGCAACGCGCTCAGCATGATCGCGTCGTACGACAACTTCGGAAACGACACAAAGTCGTGGGGCCCGCCGAAAACGGAGCGGGACGGGTTCTGGGAGCGGGTCTCGGGCGGAGGGTCTGACCAGGGATTTCGGGGAGGGATTCCGTCAGGTTTAAAGGCGGACGTGACGGTGTGCAAGGAGAATTCGTGCGATTACAAGACGGTGCAGGAGGCTGTGAATGCCGCGCCGGATAACGCGGGAGGTAAGAGGTTCGTGATTGGGATAAAGGCGGGGGTGTACGAGGAGACCGTAGGGGTGCCCTTAGAGAAGCGGAACGTGGTGTTCTTGGGTGACGGGATAGGCAAAACCGTCATTACGGGCTCATTAAATGTAGGCCAGCCCGGAATTTCCACCTACAACACTGCCACCGTCGGTATGTTTACTACGTTGTATTTTAATTTGATTTGATTTTTTATTTTTATCTGCGCTTATCTAGTAATACAGACTAGTGATAGTTCTTTTTATTTATAAATGAGATGTCATACGTTCGATTATCACTAGGTTTGAGTTTGAAGCGAATTATCTTCTTCCGCTATGAATAATATCGTATGTTTAAAAAAAATAAAATAAAATTTTAGGTCAGTTCTAGTTTTAAGATTTTTAAAATATGACGTCATATTTGGTAAGTTGAAAATGCAGTACGTGCTGGATCACACTCTTATGGTGTGACCCCGCACCCACGTAATGGCAGAGGATGGGTGGGTGGTGACATGCTGGAGCACATTATTTTGGTGCGGTCCATGATTGCACTCAATTGGAATGTATCGGTAGAGTATGGGGAAGTAGGCGTAGGTGGTAGCTTTTCCTAGTTCTAGTGGGTTGCTTGTTGTCCAACTGCGACCATATTTTTTGTGTCCTCACATAAATGGAACTCAACATGTGAGACCCGATGCATAACTCGTTAGTAAATGTGATACATATAAGCATTACTTGTTAGTAAATGTGATATGTGTAGCGTTATTCGTCAGGATGGGTGGAGAGGCATAGGAAATTAGAATGATTTGAGAGGCATAGTTTATGGTACGAAGATCTCCAGAATTTAGCTTAGGACCACAATACTTGTCGTATTTTGTGTAACTATTGCACGACTCCTGGAGTTGTGATGGTATTGCCGAGGAACGTCTTTATCTTCATGGAATCTTCTTGACCATTAGTTTGCACAACCCTGAATCCTTCCGGTTTAAGTTGCAATTAGCCTTCGCAGCTGCATATGTTTTCTATCGTTGCTGACATTTTCCACAAATCCGGCCATTACTTTTATACTTTCCACAAATCGGCCGTATATTGGGATGACAATGCGAGGAACAACATATTATGAAAGCATCATTTGTTCGTCGAGTTTTCTTGTGACTCCTTGATTGCATCTTTACTCAGATGCTGATTGTTTGATTATCTCATATATCACAGGAGTTAACGGTGATGGGTTCATGGCGAGTGGTCTCACAATCCAGAACACCGCAGGTCCCGATGCTCACCAAGCGGTTGCTTTCAGATCAGACAGTGATCTATCCGTAATCGAGAACTGCGAATTCATTGGCAATCAGGACACTCTCTATGCTCACGGCAACCGCCAATTCTACAAGTCGTGCACCATCCACGGTAATGTTGATTTCATCTTTGGTAACTCAGCTTCCATCTTCCAAGACTGCACCATCCTTGTCCGTCCTAGACAACTCAAACCCGAGAAAGGCGAAAACAATGCAGTCACTGCCCAAGGAAGAACAGACCCTGCGCAGTCAACGGGTTTTGTATTTCAAAACTGCTTGATCAACGGCACGGAAGAGTACATGAAGTTATATTGGAGCAAGCCCAAAGTGCACAAAAACTTCTTGGGGAGGCCGTGGAAGGAGTACTCGAGGACGGTGTTTATAAACTGTAATATGGAAGCTCTTCTAACACCACAAGGGTGGATGCCTTGGAGTGGAGATTTTGCTTTGAAAACCCTTTTCTATGGCGAATTCGGGAATTCGGGTGCGGGTTCTGATTTGTCCCAGAGAGTGAACTGGAGCAGCAAGATCCCACCCGAGCATGTTAATACGTATTCTCTGCAGAATTTTATCCAGGGAGATGAGTGGATTAAAACATGAAATATTAACGGGATTTTAAATTCCCCTTTTTAATAACAAAATACCAATTAGTGAGTGCAGTAGGAACGCAATACATTAGCAGTGGAAGCATGTTGTTTCAATCCCCAACTTTTTCTATGTTATCTTACGTATATAGAATGTGGAATTTCCGTAATTTAATACATGAAAATCATGTACCAGATCGACAAGGGAGCTAGTTGATCCCGTATCCTTTCTTTTGTTCCCCAATTCCTTAATACTTATCATGTTAAGTAAACTAGACAATTAAGCTAAGGTGCGGGTATTCTGCTTCACACCTACTTCGGTTGGACAAAGCTTTGAACCAATGCAACAATATTCCTCTAATAGCAGAATGTAAATTATCCATCCATCTTGGGTGGAAGATGTAAATGAGATTTCATATTTACATCTCTCCCATTAAAGTAAATTTTTCATTCACATTTACTGAAAATATAAAATAGGATGTAAATATGATTTTCGCATCTCAAATTTGTGTTTTTCGATGCTCTAGTGATAAGTTTCAAGAGACTTCATCTTAATTCCCTACTAACAAAAATAATGTAAATACTAATTTAGGGTATTCAAGATCAAATTGGAGTACCTTAGAGAAATAAGACTATCCATCAAACTCTCATGAATTCATTTTTGTTGTTTTATTCCTGATAAAACCGCTTTGAAGCATCCACTAACGTAAAAAGTGTAATATTATAAACGTGCCCTTTGTCCTTTTTCACAAATATGACCGTCGGCTATAAAGATTACCATATATAACAAAAGCCGTTGACTTAACACTGAAATATATACATCACTTACCCCCTCCAATCAAAGAAGCTGCAATCCCTTTTCTTATGCGTCCCAAAAATAAATAAAACCAACAAAAATCAAATCCCCACATATCACATGACTTTCCATATCCCATTCTATATTTCACCCATCAATGCCGCCCCGCCTTATTTAGACCTCCATCTCCATGGCAATGCTGTTCTTCCTCCTCATTGTCCTCATGGCTTCCCTCCTCTTCCTCTCTCTCCTCTCCCTCACTCTCTTCCTCTCTCTCTCCTCCGCCCAGCACCACCACCACCACACTCACCGCCTCCTCACCTCCCCACAACCTCACATCCAACAAGCCTGCAAAGCCACGCGCTTCCCCGACGCCTGTCAAGCCTCCTTGACCAACCTCGTCACTGAACCCACCACCACCCCACTCCAAACCATCCAATTCGCCGTTCAACTCTCCGGCGACGGCGTCAAGACGGCGCAGGGAATGGTCAAGACTATCCTGGACTCGTCCCCGGCCAGCCACAACCGCACGACCGCCGCGAATAACTGCCTCGACATCCTCGCTAACTCCCAGTACCGAATCTCTCTCGCGACCGACAGTCTCTCACGTGGTAAAATTAAAAATGCACGTGCTTCTATGAGCTCCGCATTGCTCTACCAGTACGGGTGCTGGTCGGGCCTCAAGAACGCCAACGACACCAGCATGGTCGACGAGACGATGTCATTTCTCGACAGTTTGATCGGCAAATCCAGCAACGCGCTCGGCATGATGGCCTCGTACGACAACTTCGGCAACGACACAAAAATGTGGGCCCCGCCGAAGACGGAGCGAGACGGGTTCTGGGAGCGGCTGGAGCACGGAGGTCCGGACCCGGGATTTCGAGGTGGGGTGCCGTCGGGTTCAACGGCGAACGTGACGGTGTGCAAGGAGGAATGGTGTAATTACAGGACGGTGCAGGAGGCGGTGAATGCCGCACCAGATAACGCGGGAAACAAAAGGTTCGTGATTGGGATAAAGGGCGGGGTGTACGAGGAGACCGTGAGGGTGGCCTTAGAGAAGCGGAACGTGATGCTTTTGGGTGACGGGATCGGCAAAACGATCATTACCGGGTCGTTGAATGTCGGCCAGCCCGGAATTTCCACCTACAACACTGCCACCGTCGGTTAGATTTTCTCCTCAGTTTATTTTTATTTATTTTTCCAGAAGTTTCCGTAAATTTGTCGATGTATGTGATGTGACAGGGGTTCTTGGTGATGGGTTCATGGCAAGCGGGCTCACAATCCAGAACACAGCAGGTCCCGACGCCCGCCAAGCAGTTGCTTTCAGATCCGACAGCGACCTCTCGGTAATCGAAAACTGCGAATTCATAGGCAACCAGGACACTCTTTACGCACAAGGAAACCGACAGTTCTATAAGTTGTGCACCATCCATGGCAACGTCGATTTCATCTTCGGAAAGTCAGCTTCCATCTTCCAAGACTGCACCATCCTTGTCCGTCCGCGGCAACTCCTACCCGAGAAAGGCGAAGACAATGTCGTCACAGCCCACGGAAGAACAGACCCTGCGCTGGCAACGGGTTTCGTGTTTCGAAACTGCTCGATCAACGGCACGGAAGAGTACATGAGGTTGTACCGGAGCAAGCCGCAGGTGCACAAGAACTACTTGGGGAGGCCGTGGAAGGAGTATTCGAGGACGGATTTTATAAACTGCAGTATGGAAGCTCTTATTACACCCCAAGGGTGGATGCCTTGGAGTGGGGATTTCGCTCTCACCACCCTTTATCTTGGGGAGTTTGGGAATTCTGGGGCGGGTTGTGATTTGTCCCAGAGATGGAACTGGACTAGCAAGATCCCATCTCAACATGTTAATACGTATTCTGTGCAGAATTTTATTCAGGGAGATGAGTGGATGTCAACTTGACAAATTATTATAGGCCACCTTTTAATAATGAATATATCAATGGGTAATGCTAGGTAGATCTAAACCAAATTTGCAAATCCAATTACGTGTCACTAATAAGAAATACGGGGTGGCCGATTGGTTAGAGACGAATTTCAGGCTTGTATTTTACACAGCACGTTCTAAGTTCGATTTCTAGGACGGTGAATAGCACAATGGTGGCGAAGGAGAGGCTAAAATAGCTCGTGAGTCCTCATGACCTCAAGAAGGGTGAATTGCCGTGACGAAAACACCATACGGTCCCTTTAGGAAAAGAAGGATTTTCGTACACCACTTTTTGTCTACTTTTTAATTTGTTTAATTTAAAAACTAAAAGTAAAAACAGGGGTCATTGTGTAGGTGAAAAGAAAAAGAAGGCAAAAATCATTGATGTGTTACATTTCATAGTAGGTCGAAAAATTGTTTTTGATTTCTAATTTTATAAGGATCAAACTTATAACCAAAAGTAGCAAGTAGTGAGTGTAATCAAGATGAAGATAATATGAATATTAAGTATCCATGAGGGTTTGTGTGGCTTGGATATCCCTTGATTCCTTGTAGCGTCCTTTCCAAACAACTGGGAAATCATTGACTGTCATCTCTATAACCGAAAATTTGATTGATTTATAAAGAGTTAAAACATATGAATTTCAGATAACTCATTGCATACGTCTTACAAAGGTACGGTTTATACAGGTTATTGACTAGCACGAACGCAAATAATGCAACAGAAACAAAGTAACCGAAGCACGCCTTGACCTTGTTATATGCCCGCCCAGAAACCTCCTCCAGTAATAAACCAAGTCAGCTGGATGAACATGAAGATGAGAATCCGATCATTTCATAAGTTTTTTTGGCCGGAATCAGAACAACCAATGCTAGCTAAGTCGGTCAGAGCTCATTTCCCATCAACACTCTTGTAAGCGACCCCATAACGGCACCAACGTCAATTGTTAGTAATTGAGTTCCTTGCGACACATCCTGCCAATCAACTTTTCGAAGAAACAGAAAATGAAAAGTAATGAAAAGGAAATTAGAACAACTATTTAAAAAAATTAGGAGTCGACATCCTGCTCATCATCAAGTACAAATCATCATGGAGACAGCCACATATATTGATAGATATCCTATACCGTAATTGGTTTTGTGGTGGTGGCAACTAAAATGGGTACGGTTAAAGAAGGCTTGGTACTCGTTCTAAATGCTTTTATTGTCAAAGTATGAAACAATTAGAGCAAAACCAACATTATTTAAATTTTCCTTTTTTTCCCCTCATTTTCTTGGCCGTGGAGGCTGACAGTGTCTAACTAGTTGATAAGGAGGTGTGTTTAATTATTTGCCTACTGAAGCCAGAAAAAATTCATACCGCGCTAGCTTCTTTTATCTTTGTCAATCAATTTACCAATGATACTAGTTAAAGCGCTCCAACATCATCCTCATACTTAGAACTATCATCAGCAGGGTTAATATCCTGATTAAAAAAATCCATAACAACATGAGAATATCTTGAACCAGTAAGAGTTCAAATGACAATTCTCACAAGTAGGAATTGTTTACAAGTCAAATTTCTTATTTTATCAGAAGATATGGCATCAAGTTGCACAGAGTTTTGAGATATACCTCCTCATTTTCTGATTGATCAGCACTCCTTATCACCCGTCTTTTGAGTTCTGTCAGGTCATTCCATAAATATCAAGCAACTTGGTTCGAGTAATTGCACATTTCCAATTTCCAACAACAAAACAGATGTGCTCCTGAATCGAGTAGGCAATTAGCAATTAGCAACAAGGAACAATCTCATAAATAAGAGATTCAAGAGCTCAGTTACAAAGGATCTCAGCACACGCTTTTATGGTTTTTTGCACACCATGTTGCTGAGCTAGGAACAGTGGGCAAAAGAGATGGCTATTCTTCCTATAAAGGGACAACAAGATAGACTAGGCAACACAAGTCAATAACTACTAGTCTACATTCTCGACCACGTTTTTAAAAGGACAATAAAAAGAAAAGAAAAAAAACACATGATAATATATAACAGAGGGTTAATAAGGGAAGCACCTAGGAAACAAAACTATATATCATGAGAATGCAAACAAACACTACCACAGTGGCATCTTCAACCTGATTGCTCTAGTAACAAACAATGTTGCCCTTACCGGAAATAAACCTAGGGCTAACAATATGAGTTGTTAAATAAGTCAAAAAGATCAAAATTTGAGCCAGCAGCATACACAATCTTCTTTTAGATAACGAGAGTTCCAGTTAAACACTAATACATTTGGCAATTAGATGGTGCAATAGGTAAAAAGCAAATGCATATAATGTATAAATCATTGTGAAAATACATATTAATCCACAATCAACTCAAGGTTGCAGTTGGAGGGTGCATAAAGGAGCTCCACGAGTAGCTCTAAAAATAAATTTTTGAAATGAGATGTCCTTATCATGAAAAAGTATTGAACCCAACCAAAAAGGAAAAAGGAAAAAGAAAAAAGAGTTGGGTTACATGGAACGCTAAAATCTTAAAAGTTAACAGAATGGTCGCCTACGTGGACAAGACCTAAAGCTTCATACCTGTTGCCCTCATTCTTTCTGCTTTCCCTTTTAAGGAACTGTGCTGCTCGTGAGGAGAAGACTAAGAGCGATTACCTTCCTGGATGACAAGCACACAAGTACAAGGGAATGTGGAACCTGTTCATGTAGCTTATAAGTAAGACACTGCAACGATGGGGTTCAGAACTACTGTGTCAATTAACTTTACCATCATGCAAATTTGTTCTAATTCCAAGATCGACATAAACTAATTAATAATATCAATATATCAACAGAAAAAACACATTTGCAAAGGCACCTTTAAATGCTTCGAAGTATTATAAATCTAGTTGTTCCTATCTGTACAGTATGGTGACAAATCCACCCACTTCCAAGAGCTTGTCCTGGTTCAACCCCCCGTACTATCCTTATATTGCCCAACCTAAAAAAACAAAAGCGCAATAAATAGCTTTCTTTTGCGCCAGTTACCTTCTTTTGCGCCGGTAAGTATTAAAATGAAATATAGAGCCCATGTGACCATTTATGCATGATTAATCCAAAAGGTTATATGCAGAAATAATGCCATAAGAACAAACAAAAGATGCGTTAAATATACTGCACAATGTTATTGGTACAGTTTTCATCACTTCATTCCTGCATCACAGTTTAAAAGGTGCAATGCTCCAACTGCTATATGACAATCTCCAACTATTAGGCGACAAAATTAGTGTTCCAATCAGATAAAAAAACTACTTGGGGAGAGGGGATCTTTGGTCCTAATAGCTTTACTATTATAGTAGAAACTATTTAAAAACAGCTACGAGATACTTTGGTCATTAACATACTTTAATATACCCCGTTCTTCCATATGTCCACTAATTTGTTGTGCTTAAAAATGATGATAAAAAGAATTTCGTCAAAATTATGAACTGAAGCTATTTATGGTTCAATCACTATGCACTATGACTATGAGACAAGAATCTCACTGCCTTAACATTAGAAGGGCTCTCCAGCCATTTACTGTATTTGATAAGACTCTACATCCATTGAAAACAAACTTCTAAAACTTATGGGATTGTTTCATAATTGGGAGGTCCTTCCCATTTATTTTGATGCCCAAGCAACTGTTTAGGGATGCCAGAATTGCCGGGATAAAATGGAAGCCAGTGCAGCTATTCACGGTCTACATGTGGAACTTATGTATCTTTAGATATCATATTTGAACCACAAAGCATTATCCACAAGATGGTTATGAAATTACATGCTACCTCTACATACAATCAATAAGAGCTTATTGATGAGAGCTGAGGATAGTATAAGATGCTGCCCCCAATCAGGAACCTGCACATATGGAAACAACTAAATCCACAACCAAACCAACAAAGCAACGTCAAACTTAAGTATCATCTGTCAAAAATTCCAGGTCTACCTAACAAAGAATTGAGGGCAAGAAATTTTTGCTTGGCCAAGTTTTGTAATTGCAGCATTGCATGTCAGTGTAAGCATGAGGAGAGATGTGTCATTTGTGTTGCTAGACCCCAAGTGCGTTCCCTTACTAGGCCTGGAAGCAGATTGAATGCAGCATTAAATCTATATAATCCTCAAATCCATTTAGCAGAAAAGCACGGGTCGCGTTCAAAAACAGAGGATGTTACCACCAACGGAACTTGCTTAGAGATAAACCACCCATAAGCTTCAGGTTGCTTGGCTGATAGTTAATCCCGGATAAAGCTCTCAAGGGAAGCAGATTCTCTTAATAAACTGCATCAATGCATTAGTTAAACATATTGAAAGTCATAAACCATATAAAAAGAAATCTTAGAGTTAATATAATCTATAAGCAACCAAAGTGGATAGAAAGCACACACCAGTTGCATTTGAAACCTTTGTGCGAGTAAATATGCATAAATGAAATTTCAAAATCCTCATAATAGTATTCCAGATCCCGAAAACACAAAGCAGAGCACACATTTCCACTTTCATGCTAACAAATTAAATTACTTAATTTACAGTTTAAAAATAAAATAAGGTTGTTGAAGCAGATATTTAAAACTTTATGGTCGCCTTATTACAATTGTCTATAAAAGGGATCAAATTACGCCATTTTTATGGAAGTGAGTAATCGACTGGTCCTTAATTACACAGACTACTCATACTTAAAGCCAAGTTTAAAAATCCTTATTAGCAGCACTGGCAATATAGGAAATCAGAATTTGAATAGACTAACTACAAAACTGATGTTATAAGCTTCAAGTTGGTCAACTTCCACACATGAACTCAGAAGTTTTGAAATACAAGTGGTGCAATACCTCCTTTGAACGAAAACATTTATGTCTCTGTCTCTACCATCCTCTCAGGATGCAATCCCACTTGAAGCTTGCAATAAGGAGTGTCGTAGAACGCAGCCTTGGCAACTTGGTTCCTCAAGCACCAATAAGCTAGGAGTAGAACTAAATCTTTTTGATTAATTCCAACTCCACGATGTAGACGCTAGTGAAGATGGTGTGTCATCTGTATACACTCCAGGCACTGCATAAAGAGAGTTACCGAGAAGCTCACGCTTTAAACTAAATAACTGATACCGGGTATCTTTTTAATCCCTCGCTCTTCCATTTTGGTCCTCACTGCAGAAACATCAAACCAGCGGCCTGTTTCTGCATAGATATCGGACAAAAGCACATAATTACCAGGATTTTGGGGTTCAAGCTCAAAAAGTCGATGAGCAACTAACTCTCCTAGCTCAGCATTGCAGTTTAGCTTACAGGCTGAAAGTAGTGCACCCCAAGCACCAGCATGAGGCTCCACAGGCATTGATCGTAGAAGATCATAAGCTGATTTTAACCGTCCTGACCGGCTAAGAAGACTAATGATACATGCATAATGATCAGGAGAGGGTATTAAACCGTACTTATGTCTCATTGATTCAAAGAAGTGCCAACCCTCCTCAACAAGCCCTGACCGACTACAAACTGTCAGGATGACTGTAAAAGCAACCTCATCCGGAGCCAAACCTTCATTTAGCATCTGTCTGAAGAGGTCAACAGCCTGACCCCCTTGACCATTAATCGACAACCCTTGTATCATAGAACAATACGAAATCAAGTCCCGCTTAGGCATCTCTTCAAACAAACGTGTTGCTCTTTCCATATTCCCACACATTGCATTCATGTTAATCAGAGCTGCGAGAACATGAGCCTGGCGAACATCAACGGAGCTCTGGCTCAGGTAAGAATCAACCCATTTAGCCACCTGCAAGCAGCCCACTTGGGAACAAGCTGACATCAAGCTCACCATTATAAACTCATCAGGCTTAACATTCTTCGTACTCATTTCTTGAAATATCTTTACGACCTCGTTAGGTTGACCATTTTGAGCATACCCTGATATCAATGCTGACCACGCAACGATATCTTTATTCGGGGCTTGCTCAAACAAAAATCTCGCAGACGCCATATCTCCGTACTTGGCATATCCATCAATCATAGTAGTATAAGAAACCACATTCTTGTCAGGCATATGATCAAAGATCCTCCTAGCATTAACCAAATCCCCCATCTTCACAAACCCACTAATAATCGCATTCCACGACACCACATTTTTCTGGGGCATCTGATCAAACAACTTGTTGGCCTCCACCAAATCCCCAACACTAGCATACCCAACAACCATAGTCGTCCAAGAAACCACACTTCTCTCAGACATTCTATCAAACACCTTGCGAGCGCAAACAATCTCCTTGCACTTACCGTACAAATCAATCAAACTGGTGCCTACAAACACATCCCCATCAACCCCACACCGCACCGCCGACCCATGTATCGCCCTTCCTTCCCAGACCCTCCCCTCACTCGCACACGCCTTAAAAAGAGACGGGTACGTATACCTATCCGGAAGGCCTTCCTCCCTCTTCATTCGAACAAACAGAGAAACAATGCCCAAAAAACCAGACCTTTCGCAGTACCCTTTGATCAGACAGTTCCAGAGAAAGGTGTTTGGGCTGAGAACGCGGTCGAAGACGGCGGCAGAGTAAGAGAGGGAAGCGAGGGCGTTGGAGAGGCAGATGAACTGGGTTATGAGGAAGTAATCTTGCTCCAAACCTTTGTGTACAATGTGGGCGTGGATTTGTTGGAGATGGGATTGGGTTTTGCAGGCTTTGAGCAACGTTGCGATTGACGGCAGCAGAAAAGTGGGACGGCGGCTGTTGGGCGGAGCTAGCGATGAGTAGAGGCGGATTGAAGGCATGGGTCTCTCTCTGTTTCGAGACCAATTACACCGTTAACTTTCAACTTCTGGAATCGGCTTCAAGGAACACATTCTCAGTTTCCTAAAGACGTTATGGTACAATTTAATGGCCATGTAACAGCTGACAGATAAAAATTGGAGGGAAAACTTGCTTGGTTGCCGAGAAAACACAGGGAAATTGGTGACAAGGGCAGATAATATTTTCAGGGGAAGCCAGTCTCACCGTGCGCGGGCCTGTCTGCGTTGTTCGTGTACAAACTACAAAGAGAAGGAAAAGGTGACGTCCCCGCGCGGGGGGCATTAGGTATGGCCAAATAGCACATAGGTAACCGCACTTATTTGCCTATTTAAATTTCCCACGATTATGGATAATTATTTAAAAAAATAAATACTTATGAATATAATTGTTTATCTGTGAAATTTAAATTGATGGTTATATGTATTAACCTCGATTATAAACAGGTAACCGTTTACCCGTTTATTTTATATATGTAATTGTTGTCAATATTTTATCAACTTTGTCGGCGACCTTCTACTTTTAGGGTTGAAGATACGGTCCTGCATAATGCAGAAAAACTGCTTGGGACAGGCGCTGGAGGAAGATATTGATTATTTTGTCATGGATGTCTGAGATAAATGACATGAAAATGTTTACCGCTTAAGCTTGCTGCGACCACAATATAGGAAACCACTAACATGAAACCTTTATGCTACTCTAGAGTAGGGATCGGTAAATACTCATTGGTTATGGGTAACTGCAGTTACCCGTCTATTTAAATTAAACGGTTACGATTATGGGTAACCATGTAGATAAATAAACGGTTATGAGTATAACTGTTTACCCGCGAAATTTAAATGAGCAGTTATGAGTATTAACCGCCATTATAAGCGGGTAACCGTTTACCTATTTATTTTATATATGTAAAACTAACAGAAACCATGTTCTTGATCCAATAATACTTAGCACCCAATAAATTAGCAAGGAATTCATCGGTCATTCTCTCAAAAACACTGCTACATGAATGATGATTCTCATCATCAAGGAATTGGCCAAATTAATTTAAATTCATTGCGGGTAACCATGAAATTGACAGAAATGTCTTCTAAACAATTTTTGCAACCCAATAATACTTAGCAAATATTATATTTACCTTCATTGGTAACAGTTAAAAATATCGTATGTAAACTATTATTTCAATTATTGGAATGGTATAAGGACTTAAAAAATTAAAATATGAAAATGTATGATGAATGTACCTATAACGGTGTTTAATTGTCCAAAAAAAAATTATGACAATTTTTTTTTTAATTTTCAAGTTGTTAAAGACAGGTAAAAAAGAGGTAATGGTAAAAAAAAAAAAAGATAAACGGATTAAAAATGATAAATGGGTAAACGGGTATTAAACGGTTATGGTTAAATGGGTATACGGTTATGGGTATGGTTAACCGTTTAGGCAGTTACCCAACGAGTAAACGGTTATGCGGGTATGAGTATAAATGGTTATGGGTAAATAATCGCGGTTACCCGTCCGCCAGAACCGTTGCTCATCCCTACTCTAGAGTCTAGAACGTTATAAGATAGCATCAATCGCTGCATTTATGCTATGGTATACGGACTTTAAAAAAATTAAAATGCGGAAATGTATGATGAATGTACCTATAACGGTATTTAATTGTCATAACAAGAAAATTCTGACAACTTTTTCTTTTTTAATTTTTGTTTATACCATATTTAGGGTCTCGTATTTAGACCTCGTATAAATACTCGAGAGACTTAAATGTAATTATGTAATAAAGGAAGAGGCAAATATGTAATTAGGGGAGGAGCCCTTATTCTATAAAAGGGCCTTCTCACCCTCACAAACCCTAAGCCTCTCCTATCTAGAGCAAAGCTCTCACACTCTCTCCCTCACTTCTTAGAGAAATACAATACAATCAGTGTGGACGTAGCCCAAACCTTGGGGTGAACCACGATACATCTTGTGTCATTTACATTTCATGCAGATTCACGGTCGGATTTACGTTGTTCCAAGACCTCCGGTTTTGTGCATCAACATTTGGCGCCGTCTGTAGGAAACGACACAAAAAATCATGTCGGTTCTCTTTCATTTTTTTTCATCTCACCACCGTGAATTTGCAGAAACACCAAACCAAAATCCCAGTCCCATCTCTCTTTCTCTAGAAACCCAGAAATGGGTAAGCAGAACAGACACATACCCTTCTCTCTCTCTTTTTCTCTCTCTAAAATCTCAGAACACCAGAAGTGAGCTGCTGCTGCTGCTGCCGCCGCTGTATACATATAAATATATCCCACAAACTCATCCTCATCGCCTCAAAAGCCCATGGCCCCGAGACCAAGCACAACAGGCCTAACCTGCTACAGTTCTGCCCCAGGATCCCTCCTAAACTCAGCCGTGGACTCTGTCATAGGAGCCGCCGCCGACCTCGAATTATCATCCCTCTGACCGCAACACCTACGAGGCCACTACTTCTCCGAAGACGGTGGCGGTAACTCTCCCTTCCTCACTAGCTATGAGTTCAGCTTCAAAGTCAACTCATCCAACGGCAGCCACAGGGACACCAGCACCACCAAGCCATTGCTCCGATCGCATGGTCTGAACGAGATTGGATCTTCCAACTTTTCTTCTTGTTCTTCAACGTCGTTGGCGGCTCTGGTTCGCCAATGAAACTCTCCAGCTGGCTTCTTCAGCCATCTCACCGCCCCTGAGAATAATGGAAGATTCTCAGTTACAGAGGAAATGGAAGCTATAGATCACAATGGAGCAATAATGGTGGTCACGGAGTAACAAGATTAAAGTCGCAGTTGAGCTTCACTGGGCAAGATTCTCTTTCTCAAATCTCTGAAGTAAGTGAAAATGGTGATGGTGTTAGCACTAACAACGGCCACCATAATGCCATGCATTCTTATCCCGCCACTAGCCTTGGGATGGAATCCTGGGATAATACCAATTTGATTGTCTTTTCAGCTCCACCAAGTAAGTGAGCTAAATGAAGGAAAATTTATGAGATTTCATGTGGGATTTCTAGTGACTAGCATGCATATACAATTCAAAATTTATATACGAAAGCAACGGAAGCATGTTATCAAATAATATCAAAGCTATAGTCATGCAAATCCCCTTCAAGATGCATAGGTTTATGTAAGATGCATCATAAACAAATTTATATAAGAACAAAGTTTGGGAGTAGTTTCATACCTCTTGATCTAGATCTTAGACCAAGGATGGACCACCTCCAAGCCCTTTGCTCATTGAACTCCGTGAGCCTAGCCTCCTTCCTTGTCTCCTCCACTTTGTTTAGAATGAGTGCTCCTAGGTTCTCTTCAAGTTTCCAAAATTGAAAACCTCTAAAGATCCTCACCCACTAGTGTAGTGAGAAGGATGAAGGAATAACCAAAGAGGTGAAAAGATGATTAGCTAAATCCCCCTATGGTGGCCAGCCCTTTTAGTGTTAGAGAGATATTTTTCTTTTTCTCTTTTGTTCTTTTAACACTTCAAAAACCCTAATGAAACATTTGCTATAAAGTTCCTTTTATAGCCAAAAAGAAACAAGTCAACATTTGACCTTTCTCTCCCTCCTTTGGCCGGCCCCTTTGTGTTGTTTGGGCTTTGGTCTTTTATTTATTTCAAGTCATCCAATGCTTGAATAAAAGCCCAATGGGTTTAGGCCCAATGAGCCTAATTAAACCCAAACATTTCTTTAAGCCCAAAACGATCTTATATCGCTTTTATGATTTCTTTAGACTTTCTAATTAATCACAACACTTAATTAATCCAATTAATTATTTCCATCATCCATTAATTACTTACTACAAGAGTGTATTGGTGAACAATCGATTTAGGTTCTAATTAGCAAGGCAGTGAGGTGATTGGCACCAATCCAATTGATTATATTTAATCCAATCACTTAGTGAATTAAAACTTACTTTTAATTTACCTTCTTCTTTGATGACTACATTTAATCATCTAGAAGAACTCACAAACCATGAGTAACATCTAACCATATATCATGGCTACCCAAGCTAATGTAGAAGTTGTTCGGAGAACCTATTCAGTTGGAATTACAATGTAATTCGATCCTTCTCTAAAACAATACTCTCAATCACACCATTAGGGTATGGATATATTATGTCAAACCCCTAATGTGATTATTCCTTCTTATATGATTCAATTGATTCGTATAGGAACGCTTTCCTTTATTACGCTTGATACTTCGGCCGAAGATTCTAGAATCATATCTTAGAGTATTCATCCTCTCTTAACGAGGATTAGAGATTCCTTGTTGCGCATTCACTTGCCTTCATGACTAAGTGGTTTAACCCTGACTATGCCGTGGACACCCGCGGATGGAGTGACTTTGACATAATCAAAGATCAAGTACTTAACCACAAGACAACGATGATGGCTCAGGTCAAATGACTACTTACATTATTCCAACCATTAGAGTTACTTGCTTGACATGTGAGTAGACCTTCATGCAAGTACTCTTGTTCGATTGTGTTCAGTGAACTCATTCCCTTAATGAGCACCTACATACTTGTCTTAGTGTCACTACACGAATGGGATGAGACTTTCCATCCTTCTAATTGAAGCGGACATAGTATGTACCGGTCTATGCATTGTCAGTATCCCTCCGACAATCCTATGACCAGGAACCTTTTGGACATGATGGTTATGTGAAGAAGGTCTCTGTAGTCTAACTTCATTAGATTACTTTTTCAATCGATCCATTGTCCATGGATTCACTATTTAGGACATATATCGTTTATAGAGATAGTCCTAAATAGTATCTTTGCCATTTGATGTATAAGATTCATCTATACATCCATTTATTGTCCTGAAAGGTTTCTTCCAAAGATTGACTTTCAAGGCATATTTCCAACACTAAAAATATGGATGGGGACATATTTAACTGCCTCAATGCTTTAGAATCTCAGTTTAGCCTTCCCCAGATATCTTTAGAAATGGCAACAGTAGAGAAGCTACTGCACATCCCTGAAGATTCTGTTCCTTGCAAAATTCGTTTTAAGCGTGGTTGTGCAACTCATCCCAGAAGCATTACAGAGAGGGCAAGTGATCTGGGTTGTTTCGACACATCCGATCTGCTCAACGGCTTATGGGTCGTGGTGGTCGGAGACTCTCAGGCAAGGCTGGTGGCGCGTTCGCTACTAAGTCTGGTTCTGGATTCTAGGCCTCTGAAGACGGTTAACAAGGATCTGTTCAAGAGGCACAATGGTTGTCAGATTGTGGTGGGTGAGATTGGGATGCGATT